CATAACCAACTCGCTGCTCCCCAGCACCTCCCCTCCGTTCCCAGTCCACTGCCGGGCCAGATGGCCCCTCGGCATGCGTGAGGGTAAAGCATTCCTTCGCCTGCCCTGAACCAGAGGCCCCAGTGGGAAGCGTGGGAGGCTCCATAACTAGCAATCTGTTGCCCCATGACCCGCGTCCCTGAGTTTTGGTCCAGACTCGCCTCTAGTTTTCCCTTCTCGGTCTTCCTGCCCCTGCTGACCACTGCCCAGCACTCCGTCTGGCACTCAGCCAACCCCTGCTGCGGCCCTGGGCTACCCCTTATTGACTTCGAGCCCTCCCTTCCGTTTGCAGGTCTCCTACATGCCCCGGATGTGCTTCCCTTATCCGTCCTTGTCCCCGGCCCACCAGCAGAGCTCAGATGAGGAGGAGGGGGAGAGGCAGAGCCCCCCACTGGAGGTGTCTGATGGAGAGGCTGATGGTTTGGAGCCTGGGCCAGGTCTTCTGCATGGGGAGACAGGTAGGGTCCAGCCCCTGATCCAGCTGATCCTAGCTGCGTTTTACAACCCTTGCATATCCCCAGCCAAGGCCAACTGGTCCAGCAGCCATGTCTCAGAGCTGTGTGTGTGTGTGTGTGTGTGTGTGTGTGTGTGTGTGTGTGTGTGTGTGCGTGTACATCATCATTATGTGAGTGTGTGAAAGGGAGATGGTATGTGTATATGTGAAGGCCTGAGTGTGTACAGGCCCGTGAGTGTGGGGCTTGTGAGCATGTGAAGGCCTGTGAGTATGTGAGGGTCTGAGTGTGTGAGTACCTGTGAATATGTGAAGGCCTTATGATTGTGTGAGGGTCCCTGGGCGTGTGTAAAGTCTTGTGAGTGTGTGGGGGCCTATGAGTGTGTGATGGACTGTGAGTTTGTGAGGTCTTGAGTGTGTGAGGGCTTGTGAGTGTGGGAGGTATTATAAGCGCGTGAGCGCTTGTATGTAAGTGCCTGTGGATAGGCGTGTGGATACGCGAGAGCAGATACAGATATATGTGTGGACGGATACGTGTGACATGTAGGTACGAGAACATGCACACATAGAGGGGCGTGTACGTGCGTGGGAGTGGGTACACGTGTGCTCGCACCTCCCACGGTCAGCGGCTGCTGGGAGGGTTTCTGCGGAGTCCTTGTGTCCCGTCCACACCCCACCGGAGTGCCCCTCTCCCGCAGGCAGCAAGAAGAAGATTCGCCTGTACCAGTTCCTGCTGGACCTGCTGCGCAGCGGCGACATGAAGGACAGCATCTGGTGGGTGGACAAGGACAAGGGCACCTTCCAGTTCTCCTCCAAGCACAAGGAGGCGCTGGCGCACCGCTGGGGCATCCAGAAGGGCAACCGCAAGAAGATGACCTACCAGAAGATGGCGCGCGCGCTGCGCAACTACGGCAAGACCGGCGAGGTGAAGAAGGTCAAGAAGAAGCTCACCTACCAGTTCAGCGGCGAGGTGCTGGGCCGCGGAGGGCTGGCCGAGCGGCGCCTCCCGCCCCACTGATCGCCCGCAGAGCCCGCCAGGCCCCCGGCCCCCGCCGGCCATAGCATTAACCCCTGGCCGGGCCCGGACACAGGGAGGACATTCCCAGGGCCGAGGCAGGACTGGGGGCCCGGCCTCGCCCCCGCCACGCCCGGCTTGTCCCGCCCCGCTTCGCCTCCCACCAGGACTCTAGCCGGGCCCCGGGGCCGCCTGGGCCTCGGACCCCACCCGAGGGTCAGCCTGGCTTAGTGGCCACGGTGCTTCCCTGGGAGCCTGGCGTCGGTACATCTTTGTATATTGAATGCTCTTCTTAAGGCTCTTCCTTCCCCCTCCTCCCCCACCCCTTAGCCTCCCCCGAAGAAGTAAAATTATTCTCAGCTCTTCTCCCCAGCGCAGAGTCTCATTCAAGAGTTCGTGCGTGCCTGGGTGCCAGGGTGCACTCCCCGCGCACAGATGTCTGCACCCTGGAGACACGGGGACCATGGACACAACATGGAGATTGTTTCTACTGAAACAAGTCCTGGGCTGTTCATTCAAGGGCTGGGATCCTATTGAAAGGCCCTGGGCACCAGTGAAGCTTGAACTCATGATCTACTGAGTTAGACATGATCTAGTTAGACATGATCCGGTAGAGATTGATGGTGGTGACCTACGCAGTGGCCCAGGTATTCTGATCATTTAGCATCTGTCAGCTTTGAGTATCTCCCCATTTTATAGAATGGGAAACTGAGGCTCACAGTAGTTTAATAACTGGTTCAATGTCACACAGCGGGGGAGTGGCCATCACTCCAGTGCAGGGTGGAAGCTCTGCTTTACTGGAAGAGGAAATGCTTCAGTTAAGTCCAAAGCTCCAGGCACAACCCAGCATTCAGAACATTTTGTTTGTGAGCTTTTCCGTCTGAACCACCTCTCAAGCCCAGCCACAAAGCATTTTTAACAGAGACTCCAGAGGCAAAACCTTGGAGTCTCTCCTGCACAGCCCTTGCTTCTAAGCACTTTGCTCCCAGGGGCATTGGACAAGGGATGTCTGTAAACATCTTGCTTCATTCAGGTGGTGGCAGACAGGGAGTGAGGAAATCTCCCAAAGCAGTCTGCACACCTCGGGAAACACAGACCCTAGGGATGTGATTGTAGGGGGAAAGACCCTTGCACGCCTCCTGGACATGTGGGTTCCTTGACATGATGCCCCCTAGTCAGGCTGCAGAGCCTCAAGAGAAGGCTATGGGATATGAGCTAAGGATAGCCCAGTGGGGCATTTGTTTTTTCAAGACAGGTTCTCTCTGTGCAGACCCAGCTCTCCCAGAACTCGCTCTGTAGACCAGGCTGGCTTCGAACTCAGAGAGATCCACCTGCCTTTGCCTCCTGAGTGCTAGAATTAAAGGTGTGCGCCACCACCACCCGGCCAAGGAGCAGTGTTTATATATATATATATATAATGTATACAGTGTTCTGCCTGCATGAATCCCTGCAGGTCAGAAGAGGGCACCAGATCTCATCACAGATGGTTGTGAGCCACCATGTGGGTGCTGGGAATTGAACTCGGGACCTCTGGAAGAGCCGTCAGTGATCTTAACCTCTGAGCCATCTCTCCAGCAACCCCCCCCCCTTTTTTCAAAAAAATGTTTTGATTCATTTAGTGTATGTGTGTGTCACACTCACCACCCCGTGCATGTGGAGGTCAGAAGACAACTTTCGGGACTTAGTTCTCTCCTCCTACCAGTGGATCCCAGGGATTGGACTCAGGTCCTCTGCCTTGGCAACACATACCTTTACTAACTTGAGCCATCTTATTGGAGGCCCTCAAGTATCAGGTTTTTTTTAAATTTATTTAACTTTATCTTATGTGCATTGGTTTGAGGGTATTAGAACCCCTGGAACTGGAATTACAGACAGTTGTGAGCTGCCATATGGATGCTGGGAATTGAACCCAGGACCTCTGGAAGAGCTCTTAACCACTGAGCCATCTTTCCATCACCCAAGCATCAGTTTTTTAAAAAAACATTTTTTGGTTTTTTTTGTTTTTTTCGAGACAGGGTTTCTCTGTGTAGCTTTGCACCTTTCCTGGAACTCGCTTTGGAGACCAGGCTGGCCTCGAACTCACAGAGATCTGCCTGCCTCTGCCTCCCAAGTGCTGGGATTAAAGGAGTGCGCCACCATGCCCAGCCATTTTTTAGATTTTTAAAAAATGTACATGACTGTTTTATCTGCATGTATGTGTGTGTACCATGTGTGTTCCTGGTGCCTGCCGAGTTTGGAAGAGGGTGTCAGGTCCCCCTGGATCTGGAGTTACAGACAGTTGTGAGTCGGCCACCGTGTGGGTGCTGGGAATGGAATCTGGGTTTTCTGCAGGAGCAACAAGTGCTTTTAACCACAGAGCCATCCCTCCAGCCCCACACCAGTTCTCTGAAAGACTCAGATAGCCATAGTAGTGTATGCCTAGAATAGCAGCACTTAGGAGGTTGAGGCCGGAGGATTATCACGAGACCAACCTAGATTACTAGTAATAGCTTCACCACAGACAGACAGACACACACACACACACACACACACACACACACACACACACACACACACACGACTTAAGAGCAGGTGATGTGGCTTTACAGTAACTAACATTGGATGGCAATCATGGCTGGTAAATTTCTATTATATGCAAAACGCTTGTATATGGATCCCTCCCTTCCGATGATAAACAATCTGTTCTACTAGCGTTACTTGACGGGGACCCCATAATTTACTCTTCTTCTGTAACATTCGATGAACCTGCTGTGACTGAGGGTCTAGTCACAGGGCAAGAACAGTGGGAGTGGGGTGGGAGACGGGGGTTCAGAATATTCCAGCATTAGTCCTTGGGCAGTCCTTGTAACTCTGGAGTACTTTTAGAGAGTCTTTGCCACGCCCTCACCTGCGGGTTCACCTAGAACGTCCCTTGTGGTGACAGTAACTCCGAGCATTGTCTCCTCCCGGTCTGACTCTAGACTAAACCTACCCAGCATTCCACAGTCCAAGGTCAGCCCCTGGCCCTTGTGGTACAGCAATGTATATCAAGTCTCTGCTAATCAAAAGAACCGTAGTCCCCAGCCCTGGACACCCTCACCCCAACACATGTACCCTTGACCCCCTAGCTGTGGGTGTCACAGGCCAAGAGCACCTCTACAGTGTAGTTTTCTGCTGGATGGACACACAGACAAGGGTGAGGCTACTCCTGAGGCCCACAGAGGGTGGGAAGGGCAGAAGTCATCTAATCATGTTGGGGGAGGGGGAGGGAAAGGAGAAGCCAGAGGACCGAGTGGACCTATCTTCTCCATGGAGATACCTCAGCTGGATGGAATTTGTCTATATTTAGCAGGTGGCTGGCAGAGGCAGATAAGCAGGGATGGGGAGGGGGACGGTTCTCATAAATAGTAAGAACACAGAACACTGTTCAGTTCCTGCTCCGGTGGCCTTACCTGCTTGGTGCTTGGTGTGACCGTTCTCAAGATGCCTGAGCCAGGGAAAAAAACAGGTAGCTCCATGCGTGGGTTTGAGTCTGACCCCAATGAGGACGAGGCCTCTAGGTCCATGCGTGGGTTTGGGTCTGACTCTGGGGCAGGGCTAGGCCCTGATGAGGATGAGGCCCCTAGGTCCCAGGAAGGGCCAGAATAGTCTTCTTTGGTCTCTGTCTACGCCTCAGCTTCTTTTCCCATTCCTCCCGTGTCAGGGCCACTGAGAGGAGACTTCACTAAATTAGGAACGACCCAGGTTAACACCCCATTCTATCTTGGCCCATTTCTTCCTCAGCCAGGGTCCTCCCTTCAGGAAGGCCAAGTTTAGGCCACCGTGGAGCCAGCTCACTGAGCCCCTGAGCACCTTCTGGTCTCAGTTTCTGAATGTAGGGTGTTGGGGGTAGTGGTCCTTTCCAACTTTGAATGTCTGCCACATGAGCCCGAACCCCTAGGGTGCTCATACCATGCCTGACTCCAGATGTCGGGGGACATTTCCTTTTCTCTGGAAAAGAACCGGCAAAGAACAGAGACTGTAGCCCAGGGCCTGGCCAGGCCTGTGCCCTTGCAGAGGTCACTGGGGCGGGGATCCAACCCCCAGCCCCCTGCTGCTCCCAGGCTGGTGTTATCTCTGTCCCTCACTCTTAGTCCAAAGCTCTCAGAGGATAAATTTAGCTATATTCCAAGTAGGCAGAGTTCAGGGGTGGGGGGTGGGAGGGTGTGCCAAGGGCCCCATGGTGGGAGAGGGGGGCTGGGCTATCACTGGGGTTCCTAGACAGGAGGGAGAGAATCCAAGGTAGGAATGACCAGTGTGGTGGTTAGGACGACAGTCTGGCTCTTCCGTCTGTGATCTTGTGTCACTTAAGCGCTCCTCCCCTGAGACATAAATTTGGCCGCCCCTCCTCCGTGGAACTGCTGGAGCATTAATTAATTGGAGTGTGCTCACCACAGTCTTTTTGAAGAAGGGTGGCCGGGAGGGGGTAGCAGGGAGCCCGGGCCCCTGAAGTCTCCATCTGGCTCTTCAGTGTCAGCCTTCATCAAGAAGCCACGGTCGGCGGAGGTGACCGCAGGCAGCGCTGCCGTGTTCGAGGCTGAGACGGAACGGGCAGGCGTGAAGGTGCGGTGGCAGCGGGACGGCAGCGACATCGGTGCCGGCGACAAGTACGGTTTGGCGGCGGAGGGCAAGCGGCACACGCTGACCGTCCGAGATGCGGGCCCTGCGGACCAGGGCTCCTATGCGGTCATTGCAGGCTCCTCGAAGGTCAAGTTTGACCTCAAGGTCACAGAGGCAGGTAAGAGCGTGCTGACCTTTTCCCCAAGGCTTGAACTTCCGCTGTAGCCCTGAGGAGGGAATGGATCCTGGAGGCTCGCCTTTGCCCTGGGGATGCTGTAAGCCCCAGACGGCCATTCTCTTCCGCACCAAGATCCCTTTGCGCTTTAACTGTGACTGCAGCTCTGTCCGAATTGTGGAGGTGGGGAAATGTAAAGGCCACCTAGGAGGTCCTCTCCTGTGGCAGACCCACAGTGATGGTCACACTCGGATGAGGACTTGGCTAGCTATGTGTGTTGGCAGGGAATCCTAAGAGCCTGGGGTGGGGGTTAGGGGGTGCTGGGTCAAGGCCAGAACCTGGAAGAGGACAGTAGATGGACCTCAGAGCTGTTCAGAGCAGAAACCTGGACATGGAACAGGTGGGCTGTAAGGGAGAGAGGAGGAAATGCGGGCCAGCGCCTCTCGTTCATGTGAGCCCGGTGGCCGAAAGTGGCGGGACACTGTACACAAGTGAGATGCATCTTAGGCGCTGTGGGACACAAGTCTGATGTCTAAGAGAGGGTGTATGTGGAGTCTCTGGTTAGAAATTGTGCCACACCCCCCCCCCAGCCCCTCCAGAGAAGGCAGAGCCTGAAGTTGCTCCCACCCCTGAGGAGGCCCCTGGAGCTCCCAGAGAGGTCCCAGCTCCGGCCACCGAGTCGGAAGGAAACGTCCCAAGTCCTGAAGGTGAAGGGGGCTGGGCAATGTGGGACAGGAGGAGGGTGTCCCAGGACAGGTCTCAAAGGCCTTCTTTCTCAGGGTCAGTCTCAGTAACCCCGGAAGGCTCAGCCCCAGGAAGTCAGGGAGCCCCCGATGACCCGATTGGCCTTTTTCTGATGCGGCCGCAGGATGGCGAGGTGACTGTGGGTGAGTGGAGGCTTCTATGCTCAGGGGTGTTATGGGAACGAAGCTCCAGAGCACCCCAAGTTCAGCCTGTCTCCTCTCTCCTACAGGGGGCAGCATTGTCTTCTCAGCCCGCGTGGCTGGGGCCAGCCTCCTGAAACCACCTGCGGTCAAGTGGTTCAAGGGCAAGTGGGTGGACCTGAGCAGCAAGGTGGGCCAGCACCTGCAGCTCCATGACAGCTACGACCGAGCCAGCAAGGTGGGACCCCTGGTCTGGAGTACAGGGCCTAGGGAGGCAGGGCAGAGCTGGAGTGTTCAGCTGAAACAGCTCCACACTGTACAAGACAGCTAAGTCAGCCATCTTGGAACTTTCTCACGGTCATGAGCCTGCCAGTGCCAGTCATGGGTCTTGAGAAGTGGATCCTCTCTATAAATTATACAAAAGCTCCGAATGTGTTAACCCTGAGAGGCGAGGTCGGCAGGCTTCGCCACTCCCGTTCTCTTCAGGGATGCAGGGCCTCTCCTGCCCGACTTCCTCCATCCCCTGCCCACAGGTCTACCTGTTTGAGCTGCACATCACAGACGCTCAGGCCACTTCTGCTGGGGGCTACCGCTGTGAGGTGTCTACCAAGGACAAATTCGACAGCTGCAACTTCAGCCTCACTGTGCACGGTGAGAGAGGCCCTGTGTCTGCTCTGATTGTGTGGCCTTCGTGGGTCCTGGTCCCTTGGGCTTGTCCAAGTGTCTGCCAACACTAAAGAGGGTGACTAGCCTGACTAGCCATGGCTAGGTAGCAGAGTTGACCACATGTCCAGTGCCGATCGCCCAGGGTGTGAGGGGGTCGTGGGAGGCTTAGACGCAGATCGAGGGCAGGCCTCTGCTTCAGTTGTCTGTGACCCTGCCTGACACGGTTTGAATGTGAGCAGGGAGGTGAGTGGAAGGGAAGGGCTGCCCACTGTGGAGGTTGGGATGATAAACTGACCCACCTCTCTGGACGTGGACCCTGGGACAAGTTGAGAAGGTGGAGTCCTGTGGCCTCCTCTGAGCAACCCCATCACTCCATTCTCTTTGTACACAGAGGCCATGGGCTCTGCAGACTTGGACCTGAGATCAGCTTTCCGCCGCACGTGAGTGCCGCTCTTTCCTCAGGACTTGGGGGAGGCCCGTGTGAGAGGCCGAGGCCCCTTGAAGTTTTATATAGGGACCTATGGGGGTCAGAGCTGAAGTCTGCGAGGGGCGGGACTAACCTGCCCTGGGTCATTGAAGACACTCTCTAACCCCACAGGAGCCTGGCTGGAGCAGGCCGGAGAACCAGGTACCCTTTCCTGTCCTCATCTGCCCCGTCCACAGACTCCAGCTGTATCTGGGATGGGTGGGAGCCCCATCTGGCTGTGCCGCTTCCTCCTACTCCACCCCACCCCCAAAGCCCCTTCCAGCTCTCCAGAAGCCTCATGGGGTCCCCTTTCCATAGTGACAGCCATGAAGACACTGGGACTTTGGACTTCAGTTCCTTGCTGAAGAAGAGGTGAGTCCGTGGGTCCCATCTTCCAGGGCAGGGAGGAAGACATGGCACTGAGGTTTCCCAGCTGGGCGGCCCTGCCCAAGAGGAAGTGCCTCTCTGAGCTGGTTTCCGTGTCAAGTGGGGGGACCCCAGTGTGGAAAGGAGTTTTGTCCTGACAACCATCCTCAGTGTACCCCTGAAAGCCCCACATAGAGTCTACAGTAGATCATTTCTGTAGACTCTGAGGACCCAAGAAGTTGGAAGAGGATCCCCAAAACTGTAGCAATGAGGACCTGGTCCCCCCGCCTGACTTTATTTTTTTTCTGTCTTCCCTTTCCCTCTCTCCCTATCCACCCTTCATGGCCGCTGCTGCTGCTCCTGCCCAGAGAGTAAGGAATGGGTTTGGGAGCCCCTGGGGCAAGATGCTGACTTTGGGGGTGTGCACCCTTTCTTCCGGGGTTTGGTGAAACACACACCTCAGGATGACACTCCTGAGGCTTGGGGTGGCCCCATACTCTGTCGGATATTGAGAAGATTGGGGGGCCTGCCCTGAAAAGTAGGAGCACAGTGTTGGGAAGAGGGAGGAAGTGAAGGCCCTGGGGAGGACCCCAGTCTTGGCAGGGAGGTGCCCAGACTTCTAACATGTCCCTGCCCTTTCTTCCTTGTCTGGAGCAGCAGTTTCCGGAGGTGAGCGCCTGGGCAACCTCAGAGCCTACGGTAGTTCAACCCCTAAGACTCCTTGGCCTGTAGACTGGGAGGAGGGGGATGGAAAGGAACGGAAGGGAGGGGGGCAGAGGCAGGCAGGTTCCTGTATCCAGGAACCCCCACCCCAGGAAGGGACAGGAGGGACTGCCTTGAGCTTCCCAGTGGGCTGTGGGGCACAGGGACTCAAAGCTGGAGGCACCTGCTGAGGAGGACGTGTGGGAGATCCTGAGACAGGCGCCACCATCAGAATATGAGCGCATCGCCTTCCAGCACGGAGTCACAGATCTGCGCGGCATGCTGAAGAGGCTCAAGGGCATGAAGCATGACGAAAAGAAGAGCACAGGTTAGCCCTTCCCACACACGGGAGACGAGGTCGTGCCAGCTGGCCCCCAACAAAGGACAATGGCTAGATTAGAGAGCACCACACAAAAGCTCGCAGACTGGGCAGAGGGGGCCCTTGGGGGCAAGACAGAGTACTGGGAGCAAAAAGATCCGATTAATAGTTAAGCGAGGTAGAGCACGTTTTACGTAACTGTCTAATTGAGTTCTCCCAACAGCACCACTGTGCCGGGAGAATTTTCCGTTCACTTAGACACGTGAGGAAACACTAAGGAACTAGCTCAAAGCTCCAGAGCACTGGGTGCCAGTGTTCCCCTGCAGCTTTCTCCGGGCCTAGCCTGAGTATTTAAGGGCTTGCTTAGTCCTTCAGCCGTAGCTCTGGTTTTACCAACATGGCTGCAAGGGGAGGCGTTTGCAAGGTGGCCTGGGTTCTAGATTCCTCCTTACCGCAGACCAGTGGAGCTGGTGGCCTTAGGTCACTCACCACCTCTCCCTGCAACATGAGACCTCTGACAGTGGCCTTGAGGACTGGGCCGTGGCAGCCCTGAAGGAGGGAAGCTGGGAGGGACGCTAAAATGAGACTTGGCGTTAACGAGAAGAGAACGGGCATGTGTCACCTTCCTAGTTCTCATGACAATCTTCCATCTTGCTGGATGCCCCTAACCCTGCCAAGAGCTGAGCAGCTAGAAAGACCCTCAAGGAAGACAGGGTGGAGACAGACAAAGGGATGGACAGACACAGAACAGAGATGAGAAGATGGGGTCACCATGGAAACCCAGAGGGTGTGGCAGGGATACAGAGCAGGGCGTGGAAGATGTAGGCAGCTGCTATGGCTGCTGTGGCTGGTCCCTGGGGGAACGTGTGGGCACCAGGGGTGGCTGGGCTGAGGTGTGGTATTCAGCCTTTCAGAAGAAGCTGGAGCCGGCCTACCAGGTAAACAAGGGCCACAAGATCCGGCTTACTGTGGAACTGGCCGACCCGGATGCTGAGGTCAAGTGGCTGAAGAATGGACAGGAGATCCAGATGAGTGGCAGGTGCGGTGGGGGTGGGGCGGGGTCCTGGGCACTGGGGTTAGGGGAGAGCTGCACCGCCCTGTCTCTTTCTGTGAGATCTCCCTGGCTCTGGCCCCTGGTCCCCATTCGTATCTCCCGCCATTCCCTCCCACCCTCGGGGTCAAATCCCAGGCCGTTTGACCTAGCCCATCTCTCTTTCTCTCTGTGTATCACTTCCTTCTACGTGGAACTCTGCAATGGCCCCTTCTGTTCCATAGCAAGTAAGTCTCCCCCTTGACATCTTGAAGCAGGCGTGGGGTTTGTGAAGGGCACCAAGCTTAGGAAGGGGTGTCCATGGCCCTCCTGATAACGCCTCTGTGCCCTGCCCAGGTACATCTTCGAGTCCATTGGCTCCAAGCGCACCCTGACCATCAGCCAATGCTCACTGGCTGACGATGCAGCCTACCAATGTGTGGTGGGGGGTGAGAAATGCAGCACAGAGCTCTTTGTCAAAGGTGGGCCCGGGACCAGGGGGACCCCCGAGAGGAAGAGAGGCCAGAGGGGACCAGCCCTCATGTTGTTCCTCCTTGGACAGAGCCCCCGGTGCTGATCACGCGGTCCCTGGAGGACCAGCTGGTGATGGTAGGACAGCGTGTGGAGTTCGAGTGTGAGGTGTCAGAAGAAGGCGCCCAGGTCAAATGGTGAGTGCAGGAGTGGGGGGTGTGGGGCAGGGCTGGAGGATGGGGACGTGCCCAGAGGAGACACTGTCCCATGCCTGGCAGGCTGAAGGATGGGGTGGAGCTGACTCGTGAGGAGACCTTCAAATACCGGTTCAAGAAGGATGGGCGGAAACACCACCTGATCATCAACGAGGCGACACTGGAGGATGCCGGACACTACGCAGTACGCACCAGCGGGGGCCAGGCACTGGCGGAGCTCATTGTGCAAGGTGAGGGCCCCCAGCCCAAGCCTGGCTGGCCACATGGAGGGAACAGGCTTTGGGCTAGTCTTTGATACCTTGAACCCCATCTTCCTGTCTGTAAAACGAGTGTGCTGAAGTGAGCACTGTGGAGCGTTGGAGGGTCAGGTGGGCCTGGGTCAGCGTCACCCCGAGTTTAGGCACACATATATGTCACGCAAATGCCCATGCCTGACCAGACGCCTGCACATCACTGCCTGCGGGCCCACATGTCCCCACAGAGGTCCGCACTGCATCCACATTCCTCCTCAGCTCTTGGGCGCTATCTGTCCCCCAGAGAAGAAGCTGGAGGTGTACCAAAGCATCGCGGACCTGTCAGTGGGCGCCAAGGACCAGGCTGTGTTTAAGTGTGAAGTTTCGGATGAGAACGTGCGCGGTGTGTGGCTGAAGAACGGGAAGGAGCTGGTGCCTGACAGCCGCATAAAGGTGTCCCACATAGGGCGGTGAGTGGAGAGACAGCCTGAGGGGAGACGCAGACCGTTCCTGATGGGGGGAGAGAGACCGGGGACAAAATCGAGGGGACGGACATGAGAGGAAATCACAGAGGGAGAGTCCCGTAAGACAGAGGGCAGAGGTACCGGGAAAGAGTGTGGAACACACACAGGGCCAGGTGCCCTGCCATTGCCCCAACTGTGACCAGACCAGGCAGGAGGCCACTGAGGAGGCGGCCCTGGCTCCTCCCAGAGCCTCTGGGGGCCCGTGCTGGGCTCCAGTTCACAGAGATTATCCAGATCAGCATCTGCCTGTCTCCAAGGGCCCCGCCATGGGGATGCCCCTGTGCAGACATCATTTCTGCCCTGTTGACCTCAGGGAACACAGGAGGGGGCTGGAGACCACGAAGCTAGAGAGAGAAACCACATTTTAAAATATCAGGACACCAAGGAGGTAGGGTAAGGCAGGTCCCCTGTAGTTGGGGGTGTGTAGAGAGGTCAGGACTGTGTGTGACCCAGTAGGGGTCCCTTGAGTTTCCACTGCCCTTCAGGGTCCACAAACTGACCATTGACGACGTCACACCTGCCGACGAGGCTGACTACAGCTTTGTGCCTGAAGGATTCGCCTGCAATCTGTCTGCCAAACTCCACTTCATGGGTGAGCTAGCATTGCGTGTGTGTGTGTGTGTGTGTGTGTGTGTGTGTGTGTGTGTGTGTGTACGCAAGGCCAGCATGCCCTGTGGCTGGGCCCTCCCTTTCCCTGAGTGTTTCTTGCTCTTCTTTTCTTACAGAGGTCAAGATTGACTTTGTGCCCAGGCAGGGTGAGTCTTGGGACCCTTTTGTGCTGTCTCAGTCCCCACACCCCATCCCAACCCCAACCCCTTCTACTTCAGAGACAGGGATGGCAAAGGCCTTGGAATAGGACCTAAGACCTATGTCTTAGGTTTCTATTGCTGTGACAAAACACGGTGACCCAAAAGCAACTTGGGAGAGGAGAGGGTTTATTCGACTTACACTTCCATATTGTAGTCCATCACTGAAGGAAGTCAGGACAGGACCCCAAACAGGACAGGAACCTGGAGACAGGAGCTGATGCAGAGGCCATGGAGGGGTGCTGCTTACTGGCTGTTCCCCGTGGCTTGCTCAGCCTGTTTTCTTATAGAACCCAGGATCTCCAGCCCAGGGCATGGCACCACCCACAGTGGGCTGGGCCCTCCCCCATCCATCACTAAGAAAACGCCCTCCAGGCTGGCCCTCATCCCGATCTTAGGGAGGAGTTTCCTCAATCGAGGCTTCCTCTTCTCAGATGACTATAGCTTGTGTCAAGTGACGTATCTAGCCAGCACAACCCAGCTGCACCACACATGACCATAGGATGATCATAACCTCTCTGGCTTCGAATTCTTTGTGCATGTTTATGTATGTGCGGGTGAATTTATGTGCATGCACACGTGTGGGGGTGCATGTGGAGTCCAGAGTCCACCTTGAGTGTTATTCCTCAGGTACCATTCATTCTCTGGGGCTCTCACTGGGACCTGGGGTCCTCTGATTAAGTGAGGTTGGCTGGCCATTGAGCCCCAGGAATCCACCTGTCTCCACCTCTTCAGTGCTGGGATTACATGTGCACATCTGGCTTTTCCATTCAGGTTCTGGGCACTAAACTCATCTGGCTTTGCCAGCTGAGCTGTCCCTTTCAGCCCTGATTTACTCAGGTGACAGTGCGTCCTTCACAGAGATGGTGTCACCAGCATGAGGTGTTAGTGCGCCTCTCCTTTTTTTTTTTTTTTTGACATACTTTTTTTTCAAGATTTATTTATTGTGTATACAGTGTTCTGCCTGTATGTCTACCTGCAGGCCAGAAGAGGGCACCAGATCCCATTACGGGTGCTTGTGAGCCACCATGTGGGTGCTGGGGATGGAACTCCGGGTCCTCTGGAAGAGCAGCCAGTGCTCTTAACTGCTGAGCCATCTCTCCTGCCCTCCCCCCTTTCCTCACCCCAAGACAGGGTTTCTCTGTGTAGCCCTGGCTGTCCTAGAATTCACTCTGTAGCCCAGGCTGGCCTTGAACTCAGAAATCCGCCTGCCTCTGCCTCCTGAGTGCTGGGATTAAATGCATCAGTGCCTGGCACCTTTTTTTTCTTTGACACTAAGATTTAATTGGGCATTTCAGAATCCTAGCTTTAGGAGACTAACTCAGGCTAGGGCTTTCCCCAGCTCAGTGCTGTCCAAAGTGGGGTCACTCAACACGTTAATCCATGTGATAAAGTGCTCAGGGTGGAGCATGTTTGGAAATACTGAACACCGCTGGGCGGTGGTGGCGCACGCCTTTAATCCCAGCACTCGAGAGGCAGAGCCAGGCGGATCTCTGTGAGTTTGAGGCCAGCCTGGTCTCCAAAGCGAGTTCCAGGAAAGGCGCAAAGCTACAGAGAAACCCTGTCTCGAAAAACCAAAAAAAAAAAAAAAAGAAATACTGAACACCAACCACCTGTTGGCTCAGAAGGTGAGCTAGTGTGTTGAAGGCCCCAAAGTCTTGTGGTAAAGACTCCCTTGGACCTGTTTAACAAAAATTCTCCCGACTTGTGTGCCCCCTTTTTTTTCTGGTGGGACATCTGGTATCCCCCCAGACACAGTGGGTGAGATGTGATACTTGGTGACCAGAATGTTATAAGCTTCCCTAAGAACTTCCAGGGCATGGTGGAAAGTTCTAGATCTTGTTTGGGTTGGCAGTTACCCGGGCATATATATATTTGTTCAGTATCTCACGACTGGGCCAGTGAGAAGGCTTAGACAGGAAAAGGCTTGGCCACACAAGCCTGGGGCTTGAGTTCAGTCCCCAGAACTCACATAAAGGTAGACAGAGAGCAGTGACTGATTCCACACAATTGTCCTCTGACCACAGGCACACCATGGCATGTCCGCCCTCTGCACCATGCGTGTGCACAAACAATAACAAGGCCGTCAGGCCAATGGCACATCTTATGATCACAACGGTGGGTACCACACTGAGGTGCAGTTTGCTCCCCATGCCTTCCCATAGACCCTGAGCAATTCATGGGTGGCTGAGGCAGAAAGACCTAGTTTGAGGCTAGCCTGGGCTAAACGATCAAGACCCTGTCTTTCTTTCTTTCTTTCTTTCTTTCTTTCTTTCTTTCTTTCTTTCTTTCTTTCTTTCTTTCTTTCTTTCTTTCTTTCTTTCTTTCTTTCTTTCGAGACAGGGTCCCTCTATAAAGTTCTGGCTGTCCTGGAGCTCACTGTGTAGACCAGGCTGGCTTTAAACTTACAGAGGTCCACCTGCCTCTGCCTCCTGAGTACTGGGATTAAAGGCGTGTGCCACCACCACGCCCGGCTGAGACCCTGTCTTAAAACAAAACAAAAACCCTACAGGACTAACTATGCTAAAATTTGTGCTTTTCATTGTATGTAAACTATACCTAGATGAAAATGATAAGAACCAACAGCCAGGGACATGAGCTCCTAGCAGCCCCCAAGTGACCTGTGCACCTCCTCTGCCACATTTGTGGGCCCGGCCCCCTCCCTTTTCTCTGAACTGTACTTCCCTTGCAGAACCTCCCAAGATCCACTTGGACTGTCCCGGCAGCACACCAGACACCATTGTGGTTGTTGCTGGGAACAAGTTACGCCTGGATGTCCCTATTTCTGGGGACCCTGCTCCCACTGTGGTCTGGCAGAAGGTTGTCACCCAGGTACTGTGGTTCCTGCCTCAGTTTCCCTATCTCTATGATGAATGTGTGGGACCAGATGAGTGCTAGGCTCTGTTCCATACCCCACCTCACCCCGAAGGTACAAGCTCCACTTCCTGAGAGCACAGAGGCCCCCCACTGGCCAGCAGGCAGAGCATGGTGGGAGGCATGGGGGGGCGGGGAAGGAAAGCTGACGCCACACCTCTACCCCTAATTCCACTCTGTCATATTTTCAGGGGAAGAAGGCCCCAGCTGGGCCACCCCCTGATGCCTCAGAAGATGCGGGTGCAGATGAAGAGTGGGTGTTTGATAAGAAGGTAAGATTGAAGCCAGGTTGTGGCTTGTGGTCCTCACTCTTCTCAACACCCTGAGGAACAACGCATGTAGATAGGGAACTGACAGACCCCTCCCAAGGTGTTGGTGTCCTTGACTTTGCTGGGAAGTCATCGTAACTAGAATGGTTCCTGGATCCCGGCCTCATTCTCCCCTTCTTCTTTTTATTAATAATTTTCCTTTTTTCTCGAGAATCTCATACATACACACAATGAAATGTGGGCTTATCTATCATTTTAGCCATCCAGCTCCCACTATCCCTCTCCCAGCTCCTCCTCCCTTTCTTCTTCTAGACTGGGTCTCATTATGCAGCCCTGGCTGACCTGGACCTCCCCATACAGACCAGGCTAGCCTCAAAACTCAGACATCCACTTGCCTCTGCCTCAGGAGTGCTCAGTTCTTTGTTGCTCTAACCCACAAAGTTCAATTAGTGCTGCCAATAAATGCATAGGTGTGGGACTGTCCACTGGAGTGTGGGCAACCTACCGGTGGACACCCGCGCCCCCTCCCGCAAGAGCAGCTATCACCAGCCTGTGTAACAGCAGTGCCTCGGTGCAGGGTGGGGCCGGGAGAGCTCCTCCTTGGCTACGACAGGCTTTCAGCCGGCTTTATCCAGTTCAGGCAATCACAGCTGCTGAGAGCTCATGATTGCTACGGCCGCGGCATGGCCAGAAGATAGCATTTCATGGCACTCCTCTCCATTCTCTGGCTCTTAAGGTGTTCCCTGAGCCTTTGGGGAGAGGGGGGCGTGGTTGACAGAGATGTCTGACTCAAGGCCGAACATTCGCTCTCTTATTCGCAGCGCTGATTTTTTTTTTGCATCTCTGTCTTGATTGCTTGCTATCTACTGCAAAAGGAAGCTTCTCGACTAAGGTTGAGACGGGCCGGGTCTGTGGGTAGAAACATAAGACAATTTGACAACATGACCATTTAATAAAATAACAATAGTAGACTCAACTCTAGGGCCTGTGACCTCCTCCGCCACGGGCTTTCGACCAGCATTACAGTCCCAGGCATGGCACTCCCGGCTGTGGAGCAGGCCCCATGTTCTGACCGAGAGCAGAGCTTCCCCCAACAGTCATGCCAGTGCACCGGCTGGTGCACGCTTGCCTGGCAGGCTGATATCTCGGCATGCAGGGTCCAGTGCCGGGTAAGACCATTGGTAGCCTTTCTCCCCCAACACCCTGCACAGCACTTCTGGCTCTCTGAAAGCTTGAGATTGTGTGCCTCCAGAGCCCACCTTGGCTATGTGCTTCCTCCCAACTAGGGAGAGAGAGTGGCTTCCCCAGCACTCAGCGGTGAGTGCAGCTGCCTGGCATGGTCCAGCTCTGCCTTTTCTCCTCTGTGCCACTGCTGGTGAAGGTCTGAATACCCGTGGTCTTTCTGGAGCCTCACAATAGCTTTGTGGGGTCACGTTCTTCCCATTTGACAGATAGGAAAACTGAGGCACACAGAGTCTAGGTTCCTGATAAAACTAGACTAGAGTCTGAGTCCTTGCCTGTGTCCTGCCTATGGTGTTGCATTGAAATTTTTGAACTCGTCACTTACAGGGGTACAGTTTCCACCCAGGCTCTGCCTCCACCACTTCCACATACCCTGCACTGAACTTCCCTCTCATTGAAGGGCTGATGGCTGCTGTACAGGCTGAGGTGTGACTTGGGTCCCCAACTCTCTCTCCCTTTCAGCTGCTGTGTGAGACTGAGGGCCGGGTCCGTGTGGAGACCACCAAAGACCGCAGCGTCTTCACAGTTGAAGGGGCAGAGAAAGAAGACGAGGGAGTCTACACTGTCACGGTGAAGAACCCTGTGGGAGAGGACCAAGTCAACCTCACGGTCAAGGTCATCGGTGAGGCAACCAGAGGTCGAGGCCGGAGAACACAGGACAGCACGGCGCGGGGGTGGGGGGTGGGGGGTGCGGAATGACCATCCATTCACTCATTTAGTTACTCAGCAGTTATCACAGGGACACTCTGAATTAGACAGTGGTAATGACTGGGACTTTTTTATGCCTGAGAGGAGCCTTGCTTGAAGGGGAGATGGGTGTGTACAATGTCACTGTCTGTGACATTGATCGTTCTCTATGAGAAACGGGCATGGGACAATCCCCGTGTTCTGGAGGGCTGGGTGGGATCAGGTGGAGCCGTAAGTGGTGAGATGGTGGATGGCGACATAATCGACTCTAGATTGCTTTGGCTCTGGCAGTGGTGGGAGCAGATGACTGGTACTGGCTGGGGTGGCGAAGAGAAGGGGTGAGCAATGTTGTCAGGCCCTGAGCTGGACATCCATAGCTGACGTGGTCCCTCTTCCCCATCAAGATGTGCCAGATGCTCCTGCGGCCCCCAAGATCAGCAACGTGGGCGAGGACTGCTGTACGGTGCAGTGGGAACCGCCGGCCTACGATGGTGGGCAGCCGGTTCTGGGTGAGTGTCAGGGCCCAGGGACAGCAAGGGCAGCTGGCGGCCGAGTGACTGGGCACAGACCGAGCTCTCCTCTCCTCTCCTCTCTCAGGCTACATCTTGGAGCGCAAGAAGAAAAAGAGCTACAGGTGGATGAGGCTCAACTTCGACCTGCTGCGGGAGCTGAGCCACGAGGCGAGGCGCATGATCGAGGGGGTAGCCTACGAGATGAGAGTCTACGCAGTCAATGCTGTGGGAATGTCCAGGCCCAGCCCTGCCTCTCAACCCTTCATGCCTATTGGTGAACATGCTCGACCCCCAGAACAACCTGGGCCAAGGGGGCAGGCAGATGGTAGCAACCTTAGCTGATAGGCAACCTCTGCACCAGGCCTTTGCATGCCTAGTGCTGTCCGGGATAACCTGCCTTGAGGAAACTCAGTCTGGACAAGTTAAATGATCTCAGGGTCACCTCACTGATAGAATGGACACTTTGGTGAATGCTAGTCTCATCCCTCCATGATTTGAGACAGGATTTTACTTACGTAGCCCTGGCTGGCCTGGAACTCTCTATGTAGACCAGGCTGGCTTCAGACTCACAGAGATCCACCTGCCTCTGCCTTCTGAGGCTGGGATTAAAGGCATGTGCGCCACCCCCTAAGAGGCCATAAGAGGGCAGCAGATCCCCTAGAACTGGAGTTACAGGAGCTCGTGAGCCACATGCGGATGCTGGGGGCTGAACCTGAGTCCTCTGCGAGAGAAACAAGTCTCTAAAACGGACGGGCCATAGCACCAGCCCCCAGCCTTCCCTTCTATCAAGGAACTACTTTCTGGTTTGTGCGACTCACCTAATCATCCACTGCCAGGAAATTCGCACGTTTCACACTGGTTTTTGGCTTTCTCTTACATTTCTAACACTTCCCACGCTGACAGACGAGTCCTCTCTGCATCCTTGGGTTCTCTTGGCTCCTTTCCCCTTTTTGTGTCCCTGTTTTATAACTGCTCTTGGTGTGCAAGTCAATCCCGAGACGTCTTTTAATCAGGCCAAATATTCCTGGGAGCGCTTGGAAGCCAGCAGAAGGGAAGTCCTTCCTATGAGAGCTCAAACAGCTGAGGTCCTGGCCAGGAGTGGCAGCTTCCCTGCATGGCGCAGGCTCACTCAGACCCCCTCTACCCGTCTCTGCCCAGGCCCCCCCGGGGAACCAACCCACCTGACTGTGGAGGATGTATCTGACACCACCGTGTCACTCAAGTGGCGGCCCCCCGAGCGGGTGGGTGCAGGTGGCCTGGATGGCTACAGCGTGGAATACTGCCAGGAGGGTTGTGAGTACCCCATCCCCGGGCCAGCCCCAGTACCCTCAGAAGGGGGAGTGAGGTGAGGTGTGATTTTGGACTCTCCCTCATCTATGTCCACACCCAGGCTCCGAGTGGGCGGCCGCTCTGCAGGGGCTGACAGAGCGCACCTCCCTGCTGGTGAAGGACCTACCCACTGGGGCCCGGCTGCAGTTCCGAGTGAGGGCACACAATGTGGCCGGGCCTGGAGCCCCTGTCGTCACCAAGGAGCCAGTGACAGTGCAGGAGATACTGCGTGAGTGCCTTCTACAAGACCTACCACTGACACCCCCCTACCCCCCACCCCCACCCCCCACCCCCGCTTCCCAATTATGGAGACCTTGCCAGAGGTGTGGGCTTCAGTGGGCAGGGACAGGGACAGCGGCAGAAGGGACCAGGGCCTTTGTCTATGCCTTGGGCTCTCTTGGTTTTCCAAAAGCCCCTGGTTCTGGACCAGGGAGAATCTAGGCCATAGCTTCCATGTTCTGAGTCTCAGCTCCAGCACATAGGTATTGTCCACAGAACTGAGCAGTGAGGCTTCTCAGGGTCATTTAGGGTGAGCTGGGATCCACTTCCCATTCTTCTGCTGTTGTTTTGTTATTGTTGTTTGAGACAGGGTCTCTCTGTGTAGTCCTGGCTGTCCTGGAGTTAGTAGACCAGGCTGGCCTCGAACTTACAGACTGCCTCTGCCTCTGGGATTAAAGGCGTGTGGTACTCGCACCTGGCTCTTCCTTCTGTTCCTTACCTCCACAAAGGTAGGAGGATTGCTTCTCCAGGTTAGAAAGGAGTAACAAATTTGAACAGTCCTGGGCAGAGTCCAAAAGCCTAGAATCGCAGCCTTGACTTACATTTTATAAGATGTGTGACTCCAGAGAAGCTGCTTCCCGCCCCTGCCTTGAAGTGAAGCTGGACTTGGTGGCATCCACTTGTAATCCTGGCACTTGGAGGTGGAGGCAGGAGGATGAAGGGTTTGTTGCCAGTCTTGGTTGTACGAGCTCCTCCTCGGAAAACAAAACCAGGGCTGGAGAGATGGCTTAACAGTTAAGGGCCCTTGCTGCTCTTGCCGGGGACCAGGATTTGGTTTCCAGCACCCACATGCATGGCTCATAACCATTCATAATTCCAGTTCCAGGGGACCCGATGCCTTTTTCTGACCTCTGCAAGCACTAGGCGCGCGCGCGCGCGCGCACACACACACACACACACACACACACACACACACACACACGCACGCATGCACGCACGCACGCAGTCATACACATAAATAAATCTAAAAAAATGAAAACCATACGCACACCACAAAGCAGAATGATAGGACTATTCGGAGGCTCACTGGACAACATCTGGTGCTGAGCACGCTGGATTTGCTGGGGTTTAGGAGGGTCTGGCCCAGGGCAGCTTCCTTCTCAGCTCCAGTGCTCTGGGCCCTGCCTCAAGAGAGAATGGACCTGTGGGATGCTTCGGGCTGGGGCTCCAGAAGGCGCTCGTTTAGCCGCCCCCCTTTCGGCCCACAGAACGACCACGGCTCCAACTGCCCAGACACCTGAGGCAGACCATCCAGAAGAAAGTTGGGGAGCCTGTGAACCTCCTCATCCCTTTCCAGGTAGGTTGACCCCTTCCCTGACCCAAGGGAGAAACCACAATGGAAGTATCTCCTGGGGGTTGTGAATCCGGAGGCCTCAACAGTGCCAGCCCTTGTGGAGAAACAGGCTTAGGGTTGGGCTGGTCATCTTCCCCCAGGGCAAACCCCGGCCTCAAGTGACCTGGACTAAAGAGGGGCAGCCACTGGCAGGTGATGAGGTGAGCATCCGAAACAGCCCCACAGACACCATCTTGTTCATCCGGGCTGCCCGCCGCACCCACTCAGGCACCTACCAGGTGACAGTTCGGATTGAGAACATGGAGGATAAGGCCACGCTGGTCCTACAGATCGTGGGTATGTGGCCCTGGAGCATCTCTTTCAGCACACTTGTCTCCTGACCTTGAGCCTGGGAACCCAGCTCAGAGCCCCTGCAGAAGGTGGCTGAGGGAAGGAGCTCCTATACGCCAGCATCCCCCTGCTTCTGCTCAGTGATCCAATCAGATCTGTCTCCTGCAGATAAGCCAAGCCCTCCCCAGGATATCCGGATCACTGAGACTTGGGGTTTCAACGTGGCTCTGGAGTGGAAGCCACCCCAAGATGATGGCAATACAGAGATCTGGGGTTATACTGTCCAGAAAGCTGACAAGAAGACCATGGTGAGCCTGGGGTCCTGGGCCTCCATAGAGTTTCCTTAGCTCCAGGAGCCCTCCCCTTGCTTAACCCATCAGTCTGGTTTCCTCCAGAGTCGGGGTGGAGGCGCAAGGGGTACCCAAGAAAGGCAGAGGCCCCTCCAAGGGCCCCCCTTCCTTAACATCTTCCAGGAGTGGTTCACCGTTCTGGAGCATTACCGCCGCACTCACTGTGTGGTATCAGAGCTCATCATTGGCAACGGCTACTACTTCCGGGTCTTCAGCCACAACATGGTGGGTTCCAGCGACAAAGCCACCGTCACCAAGGAGCCTGTCTTTATTCCACGACCAGGTGCTGCACCCTCGCTCCCACCGTGGGGAAGCTGGGGAAGGGAAGGGAGCCAGCCTGGCTTGGGGTGACCTCCTAAGACTTGTCACCAACAGGCATCACATATGAGCCACCCAGGTACAAGGCCCTGGACTTCTCTGAGGCTCCAAGCTTCACCCAGCCCCTGGCAAACCGCTCCATCATTGCGGGTTATAACGCTGTCCTCTGCTGTGCGGTGCGGGGTAGTCCGAAGGTAAGGAGGACTCCAGGTCCTGGGCTAGACTGCAGGAGGCAGGTCTCCCAGGCTCCCTTCGGGTACTCCTCTCCCCAGCTTGTCTATGGTCTTTCTCCATCTCTGGATGTCTTCCAGTCTTCCCCCTGAACAGGACCTAAGCTCTCATTGTTGGCTCTGTGTTTATTCTCAGCCTTGGGCTGAGTCTGTGCTCCAGTGGGAACGTGAATAGTCCCTCTGAATCGGCTCCCCCATCTCCTGAGACGCCCTCCTGCTCTGCCTCCTTTTGCTTGACACACAGCCCAAGATTTCCTGGTTCAAGAATGGCCTGGACCTGGGAGAAGATGCTCGTTTCCGTATGTTCAGCAAGCAGGGAGTACTGACCCTGGAGATCAGAAAGCCCTGCCCCTATGATGGGGGTGTCTATGTCTGCAGGGCCACCAACTTGCAGGGCGAGGCACAGTGTGAGTGCCGTCTGGAGGTGCGAGGTGAGGGGCCTGCTGGGCCAGGGCTTGGGAGAAAGCAGGGCAGTGCAGGGCCCTGGGCTTGGTTCTGCTGTCCCAGCTCGAACAGCGCCTCTGGCTGCTAGAGCACTGACCCTGGCATGTTCGGTGGAGCCTGCCTTCTGGAAGACTGGAAAGACACATGGCTTGTCTTCTTTCCTCTTACAGTTCCTCAATGACCAGGAAGGCTCCCCAGAGATGACTTGGTATGTATTCCAGATCACCTGAGACTCCGGGCCTAGAGTGGCTACCAGGAAATGGGGAACAGGGGTCTCAGTTCACTCACAAGGCAGCCTCTGTCATCACAGGTACAAATGGATGCCAGCCCATGTACCACAAGTCCAGGAGGAAGTTGGAGGAGCAACGCTTTCTGCTACTGCATGAGTGTCTGTGTGTACATCCTGGCTGGTCAGCAGCTGTACCAGGCGGGTCTGGTAGGCTCTGTAGAAACTGACTTCACAGCTCCTAAGGAGTGTTGTTGATTTGGGGGACACAAAGTGTGTGGTCTTCAGAAATGGTGACTGGGGACAGGCCCTTCTGGCTGGCTCATTGTGTAAGGGCAATAAAAGATCAGTGCAGTCACAGAGGGCTGGTGTCTCCTGTCTGACAGGGTCCCCTCCACAGGAAAGCATACAGGCGTTTGCTTGATCTCGGCAGGCATGCCATTTTCCAAATCAGTGTCCTGTACTTGTGAGACTAATTAGCACTAGAAAAGGAGTCAGTCTCCCCCCACCCCCACATACCCCATTACTCATTCTTCAGGTGAGGAGAGTATGGAAGTCAAAGTCTCAGGAGTCACAGGCTTTCCTTTGTAGGCATAGGTGTGAGCCGCATCCCAGTGACCAGGTGACAGCAGCTGGGGGCTGTTGGGGCAGTGTAGTAGAGTCCTGTGCGCACTGGTGGCATTGAGACCCCGCTGAACCCACAGCTCGTGACCACGTGTCTCGCATGGGACACTCCATCTAGCTCAAGCACAGAGAATCAGAACCTTCTCTGTCCTCCTCCACAGAAACCAAGTTTCCTTACAAATCTGGTAGCTAGCAGGTCTCAGAAGTGTCATGGTGGTGTGGTGGGTATTCTGCCCACAGAGTACCAGGGTTTTCCACGACATAGATAACCCGTGAAGGTTGGACCAGGGCTACTACTTTGGGTTCTCCTCAACATAAGATACACACTTGGCCTAGAGCACAGAGTCCTGGCCCGCAGCCCTATGGGAGGCCCAGGTCACACCACAACACACCCGCTCACACCTGTACAGGGAATGTAGAGAAGCACCTGCATTTTTCTGTGGCTTCTTTTTTTTTAAGATTTATTTATTTTATGTATACAATGTTCTGTCTGCATGTATGCCTGCAGGCCAGAAGAGGGCGCCAGATCTCATTACAGATGGTTGTGAGCCACCATGTGGTTGCTGGGAATTGAACTCAGGACCTCTGGTAGAACAGTCGATGTTCTTAACCTCTGAGCCATCTCTCCAGCCCCTCTTCTTTTTTTTTTGAGACAGGGTTTCTCTGTGTAGTTTTGGTGCTTGTCCTGGGTCTCTCTCTGTAGACCAGGCTGGCCTCGAACTCACAGAGATCCACCAGGCTCGGCCCGCTGCCCGGCTCTATGGCTTCTTTATTCAGCTGTTCAGGTATGGATGCTCAACTCACATCCCCCTCTAGTGGCCAGGGCACTCCAGCCCTTTACAACCCTGGTGTGGTAGGTATCCCTTTGGCATCCCAGGAAGCCCAGAAAGGAGGAGGCTGGAGCAGGGCCTCAGGATGCCAGAACCTGGATATGGATGGGCTAGGAACGGCCTTCCTCAGGCCTGAGCTGAGAAGTGATATCGTATAATGCAAGGCAACCAGGAAGTCTAGCACAGTTAAGGACATTTATTTCACATCACACAGCTGTACATTTTCTATAAATAATGCAGAGCTGAAATATTTACATCATCTCCAGTTCAGTCCACATCTTCCTTCGGTCACTGAAGCCAGACAGGCATGCATGCTGGACCCAGCTTGGCCCCGACTCACCCTTCCCTGGGTCACTATGCACCTCTTAGGCAGAGTAGCTGGTGGTCTCTGGAAGACCACCACCCTCACCCCCTGTCACCTCCTCTCAAAGGCCAGAAAGACCACTGCAAAAATCCCAACTCTGCACATGGTCGTCACTCAGAGTTGGGGCAGGCAGCAGCATGCCTGGTGGCCACAGTTTAGGAATTGTGTGAGGAAGCAGGAAGGTGGCCATGAATCCTTCTCTCCTCCTGCCCAACCCTCAGGCAGGAAGGCTGGCCCCAAGTGTCTGTCTCTCACTTCCCAGAGTGGAACTGTCCCAGGTACCCTATAGTGCCAGACCATGGAGGATGGAGAGAAGACCCCTAAACTGGAGGGCATAAGGACAAGGACATGGAACCACAGTACAAACATCTCAAGGACACTCAATGGTGGGCTCACAGTGGCCCCACAGACACACACATTCTCTGGAGCCCTGAGGGGATAGTAGGCTAGTCTGGTATCGGAGGAAGAGAAGGTAATGGGACTAGCTTAGCCCTGTGACAGATGGACACAAAGACACATTCAGACATAAAACGCAACCAGCTAAACTGTGGGAAGGAGCTTGCAGAGAACATACACACAGCATCCCCTTCTCTGTCACAGCAGCTTTGGTGCTGAAGAGCGGCAAGAGGTGAGGGACAACCCCTGGGCTGGGCCAGCTGTGGAACCTTCTCTATCAGCTAGAGACAGGCCTCGGTGGGGTTCGGAGGTCTTCTTCACTGCTACGAACTGCAGCCACGTACGAGAAGAGACACAACACGGAGTAGCAGATCTCGTGGGCCTACAAGGGGACAGAAGACCGGGCAGATCGGCCTCACTGAGACCCCCACACCGTCACACGTGGAGGGTCAGCCCAGAGTGCAGGGCCTCCCCTAACACCAGCACAGGCCTCTGGGCTGTGTGAGCATCAAGCAAGTCTTTGGAAGCTTTCCTCCTGGGACAGGGGGTCAGCCCAAGTCCACCTCCCAGGATAAAAGATGTATCGTGACTTGAGTCTGACCACTGGCTCTAGACCAACCCCCCGCGAGGGTCCGCCCCTCCTGTCCGAAGGTCCCAGGGAGCCCTGTGCACTCTGTCCTCTGTGGCCAGGCAGCACACTCACCATTGGTGTCTTGTACTTGTGGCTCACCACTTCTTTAATTTCAGGAACTAAAACCGGACGGGCAAGAGACAAAACAGAAAGTTCAAGACTAAGAGCGACAGCGTCCTACGCCCCCAGGCGGCAGCGCCCGGTACTCGCTCCCTCTCCCTGTGTCCTCTCCCAGTGGCTATAGTAGCTTAGGCTGTGACAGGGCAGAGGCCACCCTGTCCAGCCAGATTCCTTGGGCTGTCCAGGCAGACTCCTCAAACAGACATGTGAAGTCTGCCATGGCTCTTTACTTGACAGCTGGGATCTCTACACTTCTTTGGGTGCCCCGAGGTGGAAGGGCTAGCCATTCTCCTGCCCCATCACAGCTACTGTCCAGGGCTTTTGAGGAGCTGCAGGAGGGAAGGCAGTGATCTCTAGCCTGTGCCTCACCTTGCTGAGACGCCATGAACCCATCCTTGTCACCAGAGCCCACAAATCTAGTCATGATAACTACCATTCCCTCCCACAACCGCCACACAGAGTCCTAAGGTTGTATGAGGTAAGAGAACAGTAAACCCATCATCAGACTTGGAAGTGTCCTTCCCTGTGAGGCAGGAGGATCTTGGACCTGCCCGTGTGAGGGAGAGCGTCAGAGGGCTCTGGAGCAGACACACTGAACAGGAGAGACAGGCGAGTAGAGCACCCAGGTGGAGGTGATGGGGAGCATCAGGCAAATACACACATGTCCACAGCCCAGGATGCAAGATTAGGAGTCACCCCATCCCAGCCATGCAGGGGCTGTGCCCGGCCAGAGGAAGGAGTAGGGTCCCCCAGGTCCAGCCGTCAGTGTGGCCTTGGGAGACTGGGAGGAAGGCATGGCATCCCCCTGGGGAGGGGGGCAGGAAACGTAGAATGAGAGCTGGCCACACCTTCTTCTGACCCTGGGAGGTAGAATCCCCGGAACCCAGTGTTAGCATGAAATACACTCATCAAAAGGCAGAGCAAGAAGCCCCAGATCATTCTCCTGAGCTGGAAGAGTTCCCCAAGTATCTCTCTGGCAAAAGAGAGAAGGGAGCACAGTGAAGAGAACTCAGAACAGTGAGCCAGCACAACGGGGGGGGGGGGGGGGGGGGGGGGGGGGACACTGGGGAGGAAGAAGGGGGAGAAGGGGGAGAGACCACTGGCCATGGAAGCAGCTAGGTTGGTTGAGAGGAGCCCACCCCCCACCCCCCACTGCAGGGCCCAAGGCTGGGGCCTGGGGAGAGGCAGCGCGGGCTGAGGTCACTTTACCTGCTGGAGAACGAAGGTTTTCATAGCAGCGATGAGGGGCACAAAAGAATGAAGCACAGACACAGCAGGAACTCAAAGCCCCGGGGTGAGGACCCACTACACCATTCCTTAGTGCCTGCTTGGGGAGGCTGCTTCCAGCTTCCAGACACACCTGCCCCTTCTGCCTCTGAGGCCCACTAGGCTTCGCTGGCCTCAGCTGAGTCTGCCTGGGATGCCTCATGCCCTCCTCTGAGGCCAGGTGGGACCCAGAGTGGTGCCAGGGAGGCTGGGAGGAACACTGTTGGGCTTCTAGAGAGATGGCAGCAGGCAACACGGACAGGACAGAGCTCGAGGGTCACCAGTCTGCTCTGCCCCAGAACTTCTGACCACAGGCTGGCCAAACCAGGACGGAGGGCACTACATCATTAGCGTCCCTGGACTCAGCCTGCCCAAGGCTCCCTCCCTGCTCTTCAGGGACCACTGGCTATCCTGTCTCCATCCTTCCCTTCTGTCTTCTCAGGGCTCCTTTCCTTCCCTGGCCCTCTTGCTCCTCCTGACCTCTCTGCAGATCCTTTTGTCCGTCCCGCCCCCAGTCCCTCCTCTGGAACTCCAAGGTTTGAGTTACTGCCATGTGAGTCCAGACCTAAGAGCAAAATAGTGTAATTACCAAATTCTTCCAGGACAAAGACGCCTCGAACTGTATTGCACTTTTTAATGTGATTCAGCTCTATGAAAACCTGCAAGAGAGGGAGGGAGGGGGGCGTAAGGCCCAAGGGCTCCACCCCTGCCCCATAGAGCCCACTCTCCCAGCTACAGCCCCACGCCCCCTGAGGAAACCTAGTTCCCCAAGGGAGGACATAAGAATCCACACACACACAATCAAAAGCGCTAAGAAGCGAAGAAAGCAGAGAGGGCAAGTACCTTCCGCTCCTGGCCGGAGGAGAAAGCATGGGAGAGAAATGAAGGCATTAGTTTTAATGGTCAAACCCAACCCAGAGGCCCCTCTGCTGGCCTGGGCTCCCCGCCCACACCCTCTGCCCAGGGCAGCACTCATAGGACACGGTGGCCCAGGGATCGCTGACTCGGTCCATCAGGTCTCTACCCTTCCATACATCCTCCTCCGGCGCAGAGGGCTGGCACAGGTGCAAAGCTCCCCTCAGACTGTCCTTGGGGTGGGAGGTGATCTGATCTTCCTTGACACAGGA